AAAAAGAAGGTGTCAGAATAAAGCATACCTCTCCGAACTTACCACCCTGCAGTTCTGAATCCGCCCCGTTAGAGGGGTCTCTGCAGTGCCGGCTATGTTAACAAGTTCCCGGGTTCCGGCACCAGATGTCCCGCGCTATCGCCTCGCCAGCAAGAACCACACAGGACATTCGGATCCTTCTGCAGTAAAGCTTTAATGCGTCTTGAAAGGAGAGCATAAGCTTACCAGAGCGGAGACCCCGAGCCAAGAATCCCGTCCCCTAATAAAGGCTGGCAGCCGCCGCCTGGGACTTGTCACCCTATGATTGGCTTCAGCTCATAAGGCCATATGACGCCACGGAATAGGCAGAGATCAAGGAATGGAAAATTACCCAGCGCCTGCGCAATAATCTTGTTTACATTCAGTGCCTGCAGGCGCCATCATTGTAATGGAGAATGCAGGGACGGCTCCCTACATGTATCTAGGCTAGGGGTTACTATTTCCCTAGCTTCAAGTCGTGCCTCCAGACTACTCAGGGATTGGCCAGTTTTTCCTGCTCAGGGATTAGTTGGTTTTGTGTCAGGGGTAGAGATGGCTCTGATTTCAGGGCCAAACCGTGTTTCTTTCTATAGTTCTTTTTGGCTTTTAGGCTCCAGTTTTAGGGCCTGGGCAAATTTCTTTTACAGGTTCCGATTCAAGGGGCAAAGAGCTTTCTTTTGGCACTAGTTTCAGAATTAGGGTATTTTCCCCTGGCTCTAGATTTAGGGATAAAGTGCCTCTTTCACTGGCTCTGGTCCCAAATCCAGGGGGTGTTTCTCTCACTGTGTCGGGAATACACTGAGACTGTAGCCCCGTCAACTGCACTGTACCACTCCTTTTCCTGATGGAAGCCAGTAAAGAAACTGAGAATAGTAAGAATACTAAGGACCCTAATAGTGTGGAGATTAAGACTGTTGACCAGTCTTGAGCTTGCTCACGTTCCCATTGTCTCTTATCCAATCTCTCCCTAACTTTGGCTAATCCTTCTGTCACAAGACGTATACTGTTAATGAACTGGGGACAACCTAGTGCGTTAGTGGGGGGGGAGGAGGGGTGGTGCAGGCTGAGCCAGTATCTCATTGGGTCCTATCTCTTGGGGAGCCTATCCTGGCACTTGCTCTGGAGACCAGGCTGGCCTCGAACTCACACAGATCTGGACCTTAAGACATTCCATAATGGAGCTATTTTGGTCCCCGACACTAACCAAGCAATGCACATGTGGAGTTATGCCTGCAGGAGCTGCTGACATGGGGTATTGGTGAACCTGCACTGGGTGGCTCCCAGTTTAAACCCTGCTAGGATAAAGGGCTGGTGCTTAGCGAATCCCAGCCCCTGTCTCCACAAAAGCCTCTGAAAAGTCAGTGAACCTCAGACCTAATTCTCGGGGTTGTGTGGGTGTCTCTGACAGTCTGTATTCATCTTCTAGCCATATAGTTAAAAGCTGTATAGGTCTTACTCCTGAGTCAGTTACAGTTACCAAGTCACTGTGGAACGATATCCGAGCTTCCACCTTTGTAAGTGAATCTCTTCCCCCAAAAGGGGTGTATGGACAGTCAGGATGACCAGGAGGGAGTGGATACCTGGCCACTCCCTAAGTTCACTCACCTTCAGGCAGCCCATGAATGAGTAGTGGCCCATGCCAATAGCCCCTGTACCCAAGTCTTTCACTTTGAGATTAGACTCAGAGGGGTAGTCAGAACTGAATGCTGAGCACCTGTATCAACCATAAACTGGACAGGCTCCCCCTCCCAATGCAGGGTTAACTTAGGTTTGGGGAGAGGGTCCTGACCCCATCCCCTTCAGTCACTGTCTTCCTCTGCTTCAGTCACCAGTACATGAGGGGACTCTTTGTGGTCTCTTTTTCTGGGACATTTCCTGGCCCAGTGTCCAACCTCCCCACATTAGGGGCCCTGATGTTTTTAAAACTGCATCTTGTTCTCTTGGGAGGGGCGGGGAGCTACCTCCTTCCCAGGCCCGGTGGTGGAGTCGTTTTTGCTTCTCCTCTGGCTCCACAGCCAGTAGCACCTGGACCATATTGTGAGCTTGCCTTTCATCTGCAGCCACTCTAGCTCTCCGATCCTTTTCCCTATCTACTGTCCAAGCTCTCTCCTGTCTCTCACTTCCCTCAATCCTCACTATAACTTGTCTTTCCCGGAAGTCTCCCTATTACTGTATACCTTGTTTGCTACCTTCATGAGCTCGACTTGCCAGCTAAGCCATCTATCTTCTGGAGCTTCGTCCCAGTATCGGGAGCTGCCTGGCTGCCTCAGGGTCCTTGGGGGAGTATGCCCTAAAGACATCCACTAATCTCTCAAGAGAGGCTGATGGTGATTCACCAGCTTCCTGTCAGACATCATACATTTTAGCCATATTAGTTGGGTGCTGAGCAGCCGCCTGGAAACCCCTCTTTAGACCTTGAGGCGCTCCCGACCTTCTGGATAACTGAAATTCCATTGGGGTCGGGTCAAGGGGAAGTCCACATGGATCAGTGGCTGTCGCCTGGAACCACTTTCTGGGCCTCAACAATAAGCTCCTTTTCTTTGGTAGTGGAGCGGATCTGAAGGAGCAGTTGCCCCAGGCAGGCTGGAGAGTAAATATAACAGAGTCCAATAGGTTAATAAGACCCCCCGGGCTCTCAGAAAAAGGGGGAGTCTGGTTTTTCCTCATTGCCTTGACCATCCAGCAGGCCTATCACATGAAAGGGAAGGGCAGTGGCATCTGCCTCACAGGCAGAAGCTTCCTGGAAGCATTCATTCAATCTTCCCTGGTCATTGTGAGAGAGACTTGGGATGGGTTCAGCCTCCCCAGGGGCATCCATGGAGCAGAGGGAAGGTATGCGTGGGGACAGATGTTCTTCCTCTGGTACCCCTTGGAGAATGGGGGGGGCGTGTCAGGATCTTTGGGGATGTCCTTGGTGTTCCCCAAGACAAATACTTTTGAAGACCAGATGGTGGTAAGTAGGGTTTTCAACCAAGATGGGTATGTGTGTGTGTCCATGATCAGGTTCTCCTAGATGCTAAAGTAGGGAACCTGGTCCATAGATGTCATCTTTAGCCCTACTAATGATAGGTTAAAAGTGCCCTCTCAGCAGGGCGTTGGTGGCGAACGCCTTTAATCCCAGCACTCGGGAGGTAGAGGCAGGTGGATCTCTGTGAGTTCGAGACCAGCCTGGTCTACAAGAGCTAGTTCCAAGATAGCTTCCATAAGCCACAGAGAAACCCTGTCTCAACTCCCCCCAAAACAAAAACAACAAAACAAAAAACAACAACAACAACAAAAAAAAACAAACCAACAACAACAAAACAAAAATAAAAGTGCCCTCTCCTGGGGTGTGGAGAGCTGGCTCAGAGGTTAAGAGCTCTTTCAGAGTTCTTGAGTTCAATTCCCAGCAACCACATGGTGGTTCACAACCATCTGTAATGAGATCTGGTGCCCTCTTCTGGCCTGCAGGCATATACACAAGGAGAACAGTGTATACATAATAAATAAATTCTTTTTTTTTTTGGATACAGCGTTTCTCTGTGTAGCTTTGGAACCTGTTTTGGAACTTGCTCTGGAGACCAGGCTAGCCTTGAACTCAGAGATCTGCCTGCCTCTGCCTCCCAAGTGCTGGGTCTAAAGGCATGTGTCATTATCACCTGGCCTAATAAATAAATCTTAAAAAAAAAAAAGTGCCCTTGAAAGACCCCAGAAGAGGTACTTTCACAGAAGGAGACCCGTACCCAGGAATCAGCGAGACCACGAACTTGGATGCAAACAGCAAGAGGCTTTATTGGATACACGGGTACCCGGGGCGACTTAGCTTCTGTGAGGCCAAGCGCACCGAGCCAAGGGAGAGGGGTCCTTATATAGCAAAAAGCATAGTACAGAAGCGAAAAGCATAGTTACAGGGATTCTATTGGACAATTCAAATGAGGCACAGAGTTATTTCAGGTTAGCAAGTTCTCAAGGTCTGGTAATCAGACGAAGCTGACTTGGCTCTATCTTGGGTACACAGTGGTTACAACAGACCCGGTAGTTCCTCCCTCCGCGTCCAGATGGCTGACCACAGATATCCTGTGTGGCAAACAAGTAGTCATAACGCCCTGACCTTCTATTCTCAGAAATGGTTCTGGGTGGTCTTGGTCTCTTGGTCTGTAATTTAGCTAGCCCAAGAGAGAGAGAGAGAGAGCTTAAGGGGCAGTGGTCTTTCATTCCCCCATTTCTCTTGTAACTGAATGGAATCTTTCATTCAGAGGTCTCTGGATATTCTGGATCTATTTGCTTTAGCTGATGGTATTGTTGAGTTAAGACTAAGGCCTGTATGACAGATAGTCGTTCTCTGATGAATTGAGTCATCTTATTTAGAATGCAGGTACCAAATATAAGGATTAAAAATAGAATAATCAGAGGTCCCATGAGAATGGATATAAGGGTAGTGAACCAGGGGGACTTAGCGAACCATCCTTCGAACCATCCCTGTTGAGACTCAAATAGTTGTTGCCTCTGCTTAAGTCTTTCTCTAAGTTTGGCCATGCTGTCCCTAACTATTCCTGTGTGGTCTGCATAAAAGCAGCATTCTTCCTTGAGGGCAGCACATAGTCCCCGTTCCTGTAGAAATAATAAATCTAACTCTCGTCTGTTCTGCAGGACTACCTCAGAGAGTGATGTTAAGGATTTCTCGAGTGCGCTGACTGACTCTTCTAGGGCCTGGATATCTGTATGCATGGCTTGTTGTAGAAGTTTGAAATAACTAGTTTCCTGCAAGGCAACCGTACTGGTCCCTCTTCCAGCTGCTATACCCCCCATTGTTATTCCTCCTAATAATAGGGCCACGGTTAAGGACATTGGCTCCCTCTGATGTCGGGTTGATTTCTCTAGTACGCTGTAAACATACTCAGGTTGGTGGTATGTGACTTTGGGCCAAAGTTCTGTCAATATACAAAAGTCAATGGTGGCATTGAGGACAGTGGTAGAGACGCAGGGTGTCAAACCAGTACTGCAAGCCCAATAAGTTCCATAAGGGGCAACAAGGTATCGGCTGTCCTGAGATAATGGCTCTGTTTGGTTACATAACTCTTGATGTGAGGGAGGAACCCTGCCTATGCATAGCCCCTTTCCTGAGACCTCAGACATTGTGAGCTTGTGCTGCATGGCAGCTCCACAACTGGTAGGCGCTGAGGTCTGGTTAGAGTAGTTGCCCAGTACTGCTATGCCTTCATAATATGGGGGCCGGGAAACTAGGCATAGCCAGCATTCCTGAGTCTTGTTGGGGTCTGAGGAATTGAGGGCCAAGTAAGCCCCTTGTATTAGTTCAAGTAATCTGTCCCTTGTCCCTGGATATGGGGAGGTGGGGGTGTGAACTGGAGTCGTAAGAGTAAGGGTGGCAGTATTGGATGAGGGTGTTGATGAGGGTGGGAGATGGGATAGAGGCCTATGGGGCCGAGACCCATGAGGCTTGGTGGGGGGTTTCTGGTCTGCCAGAACTGGGTTTGGGCCCATGGTTTTGGTGATAGTTTTTACTTTGAGTCTAATTTTAAAGATGGCCCCCCGGTCTGGTCCCGACAGGTACCAGCGAAGGCCCCAAGCATATCCGTTCTGCCATTCTGTTGCTTTCTTACCCTCATCCGTAAAGGAAATAAGGAGAGGCATAGAGGTGGTGCCGGTGGAGCCCTTTTGCCATCCTCTGGTTACTTGAATCTTGTCCCATGAGGATGAAGGCTTCCAGTAAGCATCCCCTGTCGTTTCACATCCCCAAGTGGCACAGAAAAACTGTTCATAACCCCCACAAGTCTGAGTCTTCTTCCAGGCCCGTCCGTCTCTGGGACAGACATAAAAGTCACTACCCGACAGTTGGTCTTTGGCCTGTTGACTGCTACATCCAGGAGTGGTGTCTCTCGAACTTTGGAGTGACCTGCGAAATCGTGGCAAATCGTTTTCGTTGCTACAAGCCTTAGGGTAACAGTGTGAGATGTCCCAGGTGTCTAGACCAGCGACCAAGTCACAGAAATCGGGTGTCAATGTAGGCCACCATACACCAAGGGCATGGTTTTTGGTGGTCTCATAAATGACCTCCCCTGACTGGGAAAGTACCTGCCAGGTTAACGCATGAATGGTATAGGGGCTGGTTGCTACATGGGGGATAAACAGACAAACAATCAATAGGAGGGTGTACGAGAGAGTCTTATCTTTAAAGGATTTTGAGTGCAGTGCGCAGTCCATTCCGATGCAGTGGCTGAATCGGTGGGTCGGGCTGGCTTTACATGAGAAGCATGTATCCAAGCTGCAATGCTGTCTACTTTGAGTGCGGTGGGGGTGGTAAGCAAAACGATGTAGG